CATTTTTTCATTATAGATGAGTATTAGGAAAAGTTATTGCCATGAGTAATACGTATCGTAGATAAAATAACTAAAAGAAAACTGACATATTGTCTAGAACCAATCAGATAGTGCGTTGCATTAGCATATTATAATGAGGTATAAGATAGCGATATAAAAAAATATAGAAGGTAATTATAAAGAGGTAAAATTTACCCTGTCTATCAAATAGTATAATAAAGAAAGGAAGTGGCTACGATTTTTATAAAATTTTAATGTCCGATGAGGAATTATATTCCCAAAAAGTGAGACAAGAGTTTCCAAGGCAATTGAACACTCCATTATTTCAGTTTGTTCATTAACATGTTCATAAACGTAAAAACTATAAGAAATGTGAAAACTTGACTATGTAATTCAATGTATTTTAACTTCATGAAAAGATGTACACATTTGACTTTTATTTATACCCCCCCCCCCCAAAAAAAAAAAACCCAAGAAAATCCTGTTCATATGACTTCTCGATCGCTCTCAATTTTCACACAAATGCATAAAATAAAGGTAAAATAGTATATTTTGTATCGATTAAAATGCAACCAAAAAATTTACGATGTCTTTGAATAAAAATTTCATGCTAAATTAACATAACTTACCTTCAATTAACTATTTTCAAACTGTTTTCCCGAGGGTATTTATTTCATCTTATTTTATTTCCTTCTTTATAATAACGTTGGTATTCTATTATTGCAGAGATATACAATTATGACTCGATTATACTGTACTCTCTAACTGTTAGGAATAATTTATATTTCACGAGAAAGGGACGCCATACATTTTTCAGTAAAAATACATAACACGGCGTTAGTCGTTTAATTTCTTTAAAATTTCACGTTTTGTGAATAGTGCACAAATTAGAAAATTAAGTATATGGAATACTTTAATGGGAAATAAAGACAAACGAAGTGTAATAATAAACAAAAGCACGTGTTCCTAGTACATATGATAAATTAATTTATACCGCCGATTCAATTTTTAAAAAATCACTTCCGGTCGGAAGTTATCGCCCTTTGATCGAAATTTACAGGACCTATTTGTCTGTCATGTTACTCAAGAACGGTTCAAGCTAGAAAGCTGATTTTTTTAGGGATGATAGAAGAGATGTTGCCATGTTGCGCCTGGGTCAGGATATATTCTGGAAGTGCCTGGTATGGAAGCTCGGTAGGGGTCAAAATTTAGGACATGAATCATGAGTGATTTTTTGAGACATTTTGCATCATATCTTTTAAGTATAATTATTTTGTTATAACATACTGAACAAACTTTGTGCAGAATGACAAGATCTTTCATATGATATCAAGAAAAAAGTGCTAAGTCATCACATTAGGGGCCAAAAGGGGCCAAAAGTCTTTTTTCGATAACTCTTTAACAGTCAATATTTTATTATACATTACTGAAGCAAAAATGTTTATCTCAACAATCTACAACTGTATATTATAATTTTTATGTCGTATTGTACATAATAAGGGGCTAAAAGGGGCCAGAATGCTTAATCTTTGACGCTTTATATCTCAAAAGTGGGAAATATTTTGATAAGTAATATTGAACAAAAGATGTTCATAATAATGTTGTCAACAATATGCAACCATTCATTTTTCGCTAAATGCCCCCATTAAGGAGTTAAAGGGTTGGCCCCTAAATATTTCTTTTGCGAATAACTCGAAAACGAAACAGAATCTCTGAATAGTTGTTGAACAAAAAGTGTTCAAAATCCTAAGAGGTTCAAGATGAAATCAAGAAAAAGGGGCTGGGCACTCAAATTAGGGGCCAAAAGGGGCTAAAAGTCTTTTTTCGATAACTCTTTAACAGTCAATATTTTGTTAAACATTACTGAAGCAAAAATGTTTATCTCATCAATCTACCACTGTATATTATGATTTTAATGTCGTACATTACATGATAAGGGGCCAAAAGGGGCCAGAATGCTAAATCTTTGAAGCTTTATATCTCGAAAGTGAGAAATATTTTGATAAGTAATATTGAACAAAAGATGTTCAAAATCATGTTCTGAACAATATGCCAAATTTCATTTTCGCTAAAAGTCCCCATTAGGGAGTTGAAGGGTTGGCCCCTAAATATTTCTTTTGCGAATAACTCGAAAACGAAAAAGAATCTCTGAATAGTTGTTGAACAAAAAGTGTTCAAAATCCTAAGAGGTTCAAGATGAAATCAAGAAAAAGGGGCTGGGCACTCAAATTAGGGGCCGAAAGGGGCTAAAAGTCTTTTTTCGATAACTCTTTAACAGTCAATATTTTGTTATACATTACTGAAGCAAAAATGTTTATCTCAACAATCTACAACTGTATATTATGATTTTAATGTCGTATGTTACATAATTAGGGGTCCAAAATGCTAAAACTTTTACGCTTTATATCTCGAAAGTGAGAAATATTTTGACAAGTAATATTGAACAAAAGATGTTCAAAATCATGTTCTGAACAATATGCAACCTTTCATTTTTTGCTAAGCGTCCCCATTAAGGAGTTGAAGGGTTGGCCCCTAAATATTTCTTTCTCGAATTACTCGAAAACGAAAAAGAATCTCTAAATAGTTGTCGAAGAAAAAAAGTTCAAAATCCTAAGAGCTTCAAGAAAAAATCCAGAAAAAAGGGCTGGGCACTCAAATTAGGGGCCAAAAGGGGCTAAAAATCTTTTTTAGATAACTTTTTTATAGTCAATATTTTGTCATACATTACTTAAGCAAAAATGTTTATCTCAACAATCTACAACTGTATATTATGATTTTAATGTCGTATAGAGAGCTTTAAAATGATATGAAGAGGCTTAAAGTCTTTTTTAGATAACTTTTTTATAGTCAATATTTTGTCATACATTACTTAAGCAAAAATGTTTATCTCAACAATCTACAACTGTATATTATGATTTTAATGTCGTATAGAGAGCTTTAAAATGATATGAAGAAAAAAAAGGGCTGATCCCAACTTTTAGGGGCCGTGAGGGGCCAAAAGTCGATTTTAGAAGTCTTTATTGTTCAATGTCTTGTTCAATGTCTTTTTACAGATTATGGAAGATCATTATTTTAGAATGAAAATCTGATTTCATCTCATCAAGAATCGAACGGAAGACCCACTCGCTGCTCGCAACAAGATCGTATCTAGTTTTTATTACCGGGTATTATTATTCCTGGGAAAATTTTGTCCTTGAGTGATCTTGTAGGTCATTTTGCGCGAGAGCGCGCACGTGCAACACGTGAAATGACCGATTTAATCGATATAGGCGTAACTTTTTAAATTTTTGATGAAATGCTTTGAAACTCATAATGTAAGGATATATTAGTAATATAGACAAGATGACATGGTCAAAATAGCAAGATCTCACGCGGATGCACGTGCGCTTTGCTCTGATTGGCTGAAACCAAAGTCTCAATATCTTTCTTGTTTTTTGACGAAATCCTTTGAAATTTTGAACATAACCATGCATTAGGATATCCTACAACATGGTATATAGAAATTATCATGAAAACACGTGCATGAACGTGCGCTGCAATCTAATTGGCTGAAACTTTAAATAGCTATAACTCCCTTGGTTTTCAACCAAACAGGATGGGATTTGGAACATAGATATATAAAATGGACTTCTACAAGAAGGTATGGTCACCATGCACATGCATACACATGCGTGTACGTGACCTGCAATCTGATTGGCTGAAACTTTAAACAGTTATAACTCCTTTGGTTTTCAACCAAACAGGATGGGATTTGGAACTTAGATATATATAATGGACTTCTACAAGAAGATATGATCACCATGCACATGCATACATGTGCGTGTACATGCGCTGCTATCTGATTGGCTGAAACTTTGAACAGTTTTAGCTCCCTTGGTTTTCAACCAAACGGGATGGGATTTAGAACATAAATAGATTAAATGAACTCCTACAAGAAGGTATGGTCACCATGCTCATGTATGCATGTGCGTGTACGTGAAATGGGTAAAATCAAAAATACACTTGAATGAGCGAATTTTTTTAATACTTATTGATTAAATACTTTAATATTTAGTATATTAAAATATTTAGATTGTGTAGACAGGATGATATGGTCATTACGTACATGCATTCATATGCACGCACATGCAATGCTAAATTTGAATGAGCATGGTACATTTCTCGGTAAACGTTAACAAAGTCTCAAATGCATAGAGTTTGTGTTATTTAATGAAGCTAATTTATTTAATATAGCCATAACTTTAACATTTTCCGATGAAATGCTTTGAAACTCATTATATAAGGATATATTAATAGTGTAGATAATGTGACACTGTCAAATTAGCAAGAACTCACGCGCATTTACGCGCATTTACTTGCGCTTCGCTCTGATTGGCTGAAACAAAAATCTCAATATCTTTTCCGTTTTTTAACGAAATGGTATGAAATTTAAAATATAAGCATACTTTAGGATGTCCTACAATATGATATACAACATTTGTCATGAAAGCACGCGCATGCACGTGCGCTGCAATCTGATTGGCTTAAACTTGAAATGGCTATAACTCCCTTGTTTTTCAACCAAACAGGATGGGATTTAGAATATAGATAGATATAAGGGACTCATACAAGAAGGTGTGGTCATCATGCACGTGCACGCACGTGCGTGCAATTAGAACGAGTGAAATGAAAATACACTTAAAAGAGTGATTTTTCATACTTTTGGACTGAATGCTTTAATATATTGTATATTAAAATATGTAGATAGTGAAGACAAGATGATATGATGATAACGCACATGCATTCACATGCGCATGGGTGCAATGCTAAAATTTGAATATAAATAATATCCTTCTGAGAAAACGTTGTTAAAGTCAAAAATGCACAGAGTTTGTCTTATTTAATGAAGCTTACAGGGAATATGGCACCAAAAGGGAGTTGGGGAGCGTTTGGGGAACATATGTAACGGTCCCCGTTACAATTAGCACTAGTTTTCATTTGCATTTAAAATTTTGTTACAGAAGGTATGTGCTTGGAGGAGACAACAAAAAATTGGACAGAAGCGTCAGACAGCTGTACCTTAGCTGTGTTCAACACATCACTCAGTGTTGGTGTCTTTATCTTAGGACTCCCCATGCTTGATCACCGCCGACCTCTGGTGCAGAGGACCGAGTCCCATGACATTCACTGGATAGGGGCCACGGGGGAATTCACACCATGGTTTAAATTAATAGGTACTGTAACCTAACTTTTATTCGCGAGCGAGAACTAACCGCGATCGAAAATCGTGGTCTTCAATTCCGATCTTTTATCGTCCTGAACCAGTTATTCACCGCAGCTATATTTTTTGATTTTTTCGAAAATTATTTAGTCTCTTTAAATACGTATTTTTTCAAAATGTTCAATGAAAAAACATGCAATATAATTAATTTTACAATATTTTTTTAAATGACAATGCCCCTACACTTTCTTATGATACATGAAAATCCTGCCAATTTTTAACTCACCAAAGCCGAAGGCTCAAGTGAGCTTTTGTACGTTGTCCGTCCGTCCATCTGTAATTTTTTCACATTTTCGACATCTTCTCAAAAACCACTGGGCCAATTTTAACCAAACTTGACACAAAACATCCTTGGGTAAAGGGGAATTTCAATTGTTAAAATGAAGAGCCATGCCCCCTTACAAGGGGAGAGGTAATCAAAAAAAGACAGAAATATGGTGGGGTCATTAAAAAATTTTCTTCTCAAGAGCCACTGGACCAGAAAAGCTGAAACTTATGTGGAAGCATCCTGGGGTAGTGTAGATTCTAATTTGTTCAAACCATCACCCCTTGGAGCTGGGCGGGGCCACAATAGGGAATCAAAGTTTTACATTGAAATATATACTAGGAAAAATCTTTCAAATCTTCTTCTCTATAGCCACTGGACCAGAAAAGCTGAAACTTATGTAGAAGCATCATGGGGAAGTGTAGATTCTAAATTCTAAGCCCCTGGGAGTTGGATGGGGCCACAATAAGGAATCAAAGTTTTACATACAATTATATCGGGAAATCTTTAAAATCTTCTTCTCAAGAACCATAGGACCAGAAAAGCTTAAACTTATGTGAAAGCATCTTGGGGAAGTGTAGGTTCTAAATTGTTCAAACCATGACCCCTGGGAGTTGGATGCACCACAATAAGGAAGGATATGGAGATAACGAACAGTATTCAATATCGAAGTCCATAAAACAACAGGGAATCAAATTTTTAAATATAGAAATATATAGGAAAATTCTTAAACTTATGTGAAAGCATTCTGGGGTAGTGTAGATTCTAAATTGTTCAAAGCATGATCCCAGGGTGTTGGGCAGGGCCACAATAGGAATCAAAGTTTTACATAGAAATATGTAGGAAAAATCTTCAAAAATCTTCTTCTCAAGAACCACTGAGCCAGGAAAGCTGAAACTTATGTGAAAGCATCATGGGGTAATGTAGATTCTAAATTGTTAAAATCATGACCTTCGGGGAAGGGGGGGGGGGCACAATAAAGAATCAAATTTTTACATTAAAATATAAAGAATATATTCATTTAAAAATCTTCCTCTCAAGAACCCCTGAAGCATAAAAGCAAACATTTATGGGGAAGCATCCTGTGGGTAGTGTAAATTCTAAATTTTTAAAGTAATGACGGGTGGCATGATAGATGTAAGAAGAGGGAAAATCTGGTAAAGAACTGCATCACCACAGTAACTCAGGTTAGCGATGTGGCCCATGGGTCCTTGTTTTTATATACTTCCTGATTTCTGCTGTTGTTCAACATTATTGTTATCAAAAATAGAAAGACTATTGATATGGTGTATAAGTAAGCGTTTTTTAAATCTGGTGATATTAATGATAATATGGAGTATTTCACCGTCTACTCCGAATTGTATGGTACAAAATATTCTTAAAAAAGGAGAGGAATTCAGTTAAGGAAAAGGATTAGTGGGCCTAGAACAATAATATTAACATCCCGGGATATCAAAAAAGGATTGAATGTTCACTCATTAAAATGAAACATATGAATATAACGAACATTATTCAAGTCCATAATAAAAAATACAAAACAGGAGCAGAGCAAAAATGGACCTTCAAAACATCGGAGGTTGGATCAGGTACCATGGAGGAGTGAGCATTCCCTGCCGACAGGTCACACTTGCCGTGTGTTCCTTGTCATTCTCGGGAAAAACCGAAAAATCCGTCTCAATTCAGTGTATAAATTATAGACTAACAATAAGTATGAAAAATGTCAGTCAGCATTTGACTCAATGTAAATTGTATTTGCTGACAAGGTCATTGTATCCACCATAGAACTTACGAAATGATGACTTTAAACGAGACTGTTCTTATCATTATTGTTTCATAATCTTGTTTGTCAATATCTTACTTCGTTTAAGAGTTGTTTGTACATAGAACATGCCCATTCGTATCGAATTAACTGAGAGTTATAGAACCCCTATGCATTTAATAAAGATATATTGCAGTATAAGTAAGAGAAGTTGACGATTAAAAAGTTAAAGTCATCATATTTATAACAAAGCTTTGTTGTTAGATTATTATAAGGTCTTTTTCAAGTAAAATATCCAAATTTGTTAATTGTTCATTATATCAAAGGAACACAATGATAATTGCCCATCAATTAATTTTGAAACTAGCTTAATAAATTGATGGGCAGTTGTCATTGTGTTCCTTTGATATAATGAACAATTTTCATATGTTCTTTCAATTCTTATATCTTATTTAAAACAGATACATGAGGCAGACTTTGATATCTTGTATTGCAAGCTCACCGGGGTTTATCTCATCAACCTTTACTGTGATCTCGGAAATTGTAAATATGTAGATCCATGTCTAATCTTTGACTCAAATGCATTAAAAAATATTGGAAAGCAGTAAAATTCCAAGCATGTTCCCATAGTATTTTTGTGGTACTCACTCATAACGAATTTCATTTAGCTGATTGGTCAGTAATAAAGTATAGCCAGTGCCTCGTTTAGAATATGAATTTATTCTCACGTCAGAAAATCTAGTTCCGTCGATCTGATCATAATGGGAAAGGCCAGCTATATAGATTTTACTATTTTTTTTAAAGCATGTGAGCGCAGTTAGGTACACTTTTCTCCTTTCACAAATAGGTAGATTTTGATAGAATACAGTGACAAGCCAAAGGAGAAAACTGTACCTGCCTTCGCTCGTATATTTTAAGGCTTCAAAGAGTGGGGTGGGGTTAAAATGCAATGGGAATTGAATGTAAAAATGATACCCCTAACCCAATAAATAATCTCTATCTTTCAAAACACGTTTCTATTTTTGTTAAAAATAGTATTCGATAAAGGTACACATATCAGTGAATAATTACGTACAAAAATTTGAGTAAAATTTAGACATTTTACATTTTGTTAATTTACCGGGGCCCGCAAGTCACCTCATCCTTTCTAATGGATTTTATAGAGAAAAAATTACTCTGAACTAAAATGTATTTCTACAGCAGCAAAAAAAAAAATTTTCATATGCCGCCGTTCCGCTAAAAATATACTTCCTGCTATATTTCAAACTAAGATTAATATCATTATACCATTTCTATTTAAAGTTTTTCAATCTTGAGAATGGAACAAGAATGATTTAAATTTCATATATTTAGATGTTTAGAAAGACTAAATACATTTTGAACATTGCATCTAGTCAGAAAAGAGACAAGAATTCCTCGTTAAAGGGCTTTTCTCATCCTATTACAAAAATCGAAATTAAAAAAATATATATTGGCTATGTCAACATATCAATTCTCTCTCTCTCTCTCTCTCTTTCATATGTAGAATTAACACGAATACCCAGTACATTACAAAACAAATCAAGTTTTTGCAAATTTATCTTTACATCTCAATATCAGTGTCACCGTTGAAAGAAAAGTCTTGCAATAAATTAACTGGACTATAAATGATAAATATATTTTTTTGATTTAATTCGTATAAAAGATTAGTTGTTTTCCTACGTTAAGTTATGTTGTTTTTTCAGGATGCTTCCTGTATTTTGTCCCTCCTTCATTCAGTAGAAAATTGACGTCCACCTCAAGTATAGGTCCTGTCGCTGAATGTCATCAAATATGTGAAGTTTGGAACGATAACTACAAGGAATTCGGCATAAATGTAAGCATGCGTATTTCTAACCGAGCATTCATGACATCAAGACAAAGATGGAAATCCGAAGTTTCCAGCTTTTATATCAGTATTGAATTAAGTAGGAAAAATTGCGCAAATAAAAAGTATCTTCAGTAAAAGAAAAGGAACACTTACAGTTTTCTATAAAATTCAAGGACAACGATAAAACTGAATTCGATTGATTGATTGAAAAGTTTTTCATTTCCCGGTGACGTTTTCACTTCCATAGATGGGTGAGGTTTTGACATTTACTGCTAAATGACTTCAAATTTACACTTTCATTTAGCACTGAGGACCTACAAGCAGTGAAAATCTTTATCGCACTAACTGTGACATAGAACCTTGTTTTTTTTAAAGTTTTTTTTTTAAAACTGCGACTTCTTTTCAATGTACTTAGCCTTTGCGAAGGATAGGTTATCTGCTATTTTTATTCGAATTAGGTTAGTCGCAGCTAAAGTTTGAACTAACGACCTTCCCATCAATGTTTATTTATTTATTTATTCACCAATCAAGGGCCCTCTGGGGGCATATACAATTAAGAGACAAACAATATAATTATTATTATAACAATGCAAAATTGACATGATCCTCACTTGTAAAAGTTCTCAGATTTGAAATACTGATATACAGGGTAGTTCACAATGAAATATTAGCATTACATATCATATAATAATAATAATAAAATATGAAGAAAAATAAATAAATAATAATATTAATAAAATACCAAGCTCCTTTATACTGCAATGACCAGGCGGATAATAGCATACAAGTACATGTTATCAAATTATTATTAATAATAATCATATTATTACAAAAAGTATATATATTTTGTTGGCCTGGTAGCATAAGGTACCAAGGGGCGATGCCTATTGAGCAGTCTGGAAAAAATGAAAAACCAGGTTGCTCGGTCTTGTACCTCAAGCAACCTAGACAGCCTGTAGGAGGAAAACTTAATTTGTTGGCCTGACTACTTGGGGCACCAAAGGACGGTGCCTATTGAACAGTATGACAATACAGACTGTCAGTCTTGTACCCCAAGTAGCCAGGACAGCTTGGGGGTATAGAGGATCCTAGTATATAACTTGAAATGTAATGCATATATTTAAGATACACTTCTTCAGAAATCAATGAGAGGTGGCAAGTTAGCTATTGTGACGGCCAAAAATAAATTTTTTTTACAATATTTCATTTTAAAAAAATTCAAATATATGTTTGATTGAATATTTTTACGTCCCATTCGAGAATATTCCACTCATATAGAGAAGTCATTACAGAACGGCTTGAAATTTTTACCTTTACTCGGCACATATGGTCATTGAGCAGTGAAGAATATCTTTATCGTGCCAACGTCTACCTTGACACGAGGCCTCGGTTTTTAAGGTCTCATCCGAAGGACCCACAACTTTCACTTCAAGTGCCGAGCAAATAGGGAAGGAACAGTTGCTACCCATTTTTTTTTTATCGACTAGGGTCAGTTATAATCGTGATTCGAACTTATGACCATCCGAACACGGAGCAAGTACTCTACAGTTTGAGCTACCGTGACAGCCAAATACATTGAAGAAAAAGCAAACGATGATAGAATAATCCTTTTAGCTTTAGTAAAACACCTTACATAGACAGAAATCCTTATGCTTAAAGTTTGAATATAGTTTTCAATTCTCGTTATAATTGTAGGGAACACATTGCTTCTGCAGAGAGAATGAGAAAACAGAACTGGGCTCAGTTACAAACAAGACCTGCAAACTTCAGAATTCTGAAAACTTTTTGAAAGATTTAGTTGGACCCAAATATGATGCTGGGCAAGCAGGGGATTACAATGGAATCGCCATGTATAGAAAAATGAATGATGTCACATATATAGGTGAAGTTGGTTACCATTACAAAATAAGTTCATAGCTACTATGCTTGAGTTACACTTCATGATATTTTAAAACCTTTATCTACTTTCAACTTTTATTGGAAAGTAACAATTGCTTTCTGTTGACCAATGGCTTTAAGCCTAAAAATAACCGCGTTATATTTGACTGTTTGGAGCATAAAAAATTATTTCGGATTTTTTAAAATTTAAGATTCTATTTATGTATTTTTTAGTGTAATAACAATACAAGAAGTTGTTAAAAATTACTTTTGTTGTAGAGGATAGTCTAGTCGAGTGTCTTAGAGAGACAGAAGAAGGCAATGAGACGTATCCTTGTGATGCTCCAGGTGCGCGATTGGTGGTACCAAATTGACTTATTTTCTTTCATTTAATGAATGGCTGATGTATTTTAATTTAATGTCTTATTAACAATAGATAGTATGGGATATACATGGACAGAAAGTCTGAAACGCCAAGGGATTGACTATAACAAGCTTCCAAGATGGACTCCTTACATACGTCGACTGATTATAAGTGAAAGGAAAGGTAAGCTTCTGTTGGCCTTAATATAATATGATTCTTTAAAAAAGGCATAAAAACCATGTCACATTTTTGTTCAGACCTGTATGAAATGCGAACAGGACATCAGCAAGGCTATTGCCTATTCTATTTTCTCTTCTGTATAGTTAAATTATGGAAGATCTCATACATGGTATCATACATGGTAACAGAGGGTAATCCTCAATGCAGAACAAATCATGGACATGTTCGAACCAAAAAATATATTTTGCATTAAAATAAGTAAAACATAAAACTTTTGTCAGACGCTTATCTCGATCGTTTTTGAAATTTTTCGTACGTATATAAGCACCTTCTTATCGATTCAAGTGGGAAACAAAAATTCCATATGCATGTGATAGTAATTTATTGTTATATAACTAAGGGAAATTGATTGAAAAGTTGAAAAGTTTATCTACATTTTTTTAAAAAAATATTTTTTTACTACTTTCCTTTAATTTCCATCAACATCTTTCACTAGTATAATATCCAACAGACGTGTGAGAGTCTATGGTGATTATTGCGAGTTCATAGGGGAATATCGAATTAACTCTTTACAACTTACTGATTTGTTTTGCATGCAACATACACTTAATGTCACGTCATAGAAATTTTTGAAAATTCATATTGAAACGCCTCCACTTTCCGGTGGAGGGCTGTAAATTTAGACCCGGGACGCGAACCTTATGCCCTTTGAGAATAGGGAGATCTTTTTCGGCACCATCACCTTCCGCGACAAGAGATATCGATTTTTACGGACCGATCTCTACTTCGCATATCTATTTGAACCGACTATTATTACTTTAAGTGTAAAGAAAAAACCATTCTCTACAACAAAAAACTCTAAGAAAGGATTTATGCCAATATCTTAATCAATGTTTTTATTGTACGTTTTGCTAAGACAGATATCAAGAATATCCAATAGTTAAACATTGATTTTATCATTTTTTTTGTGACAAAAGGGGCATTGTGGCAACGCTTTTTGAAAAAATTACGCACTTTGAATTTAGACACACTCAACGCACTTTGAAAATTTTTTTCAAAGTGCGATAAGAGTGTATATAAATATTTTTACCATGGGACATTTACCGCACTTTGAAACAAATATATCTATAAAACAAAAAACTCTAGACTCAGATTTTAGTAATTGAGAGAATGAATTTGCATTAGTTATATCTGTCGAAGAAACATTTTAATTTACATGTACTCATTTAACCACATTGGGAACAAGGAGAAGACGAGTAGAAAGTCTCTCAACCCAACTTATTTTTCTTATACATTGTACATAGCAGTCGGTAGCAAATTGAAAGTGGACCCCCTTAAAGGTAAACCCCAGTTGAAAATGCCTATATATCTTTGCAAAACATTTGTGTGCAAAAGACCCCCTTCCCGGTACCGATGCATATGTTTCACCCAAATAAATGTATTTGCATATAACTGGTATGACATTGAAAACTTTCAATAACTTTTAGTTTATATATAAAATGCGCTCAAAATGGAAAAAATTAAGTACAGTAAAACATTTAAAAATCAAAATCGCTCACTTTCACATCCAGAAGTGACCTCATGACCAAAGAGTTGTCAAACAGGTTCAATTATTTATCATACCTGAGATTTGCAAAAATATTGACCAAGCCATCAACTTTTTTTCAAAGTGCGTTAATATGGTAGATTGTAACGCACTTTGAAAAATACACTATTTTTTCAAAGTGCGTTAATTTGGTCCCAAATGTAATTCACTTTGAAATTTTTTTAATGTTAATGCAACCCCTCTTGAACCCTTGAATGAAAAATATGGAGAGAACGGAGTCAATGGAACTTTTAAACAATTTCATTTACAAACTGCTAAGAAATATACTTTGCCATTATACAAATATGAGAGATTGGTGTATTATTTGTGAGCTAAGTGTTACCAGTATCTTGGATTTTAATCTAAAATAATAAAGGATACAGATTAAAAAGACAAATGAATCTATCAACTGCTTTTCATGCAGATTATTAACTAAAATATTTACATATTTGGACAGGTAACAGCACCTTGCAGGATGGGACAGTATGTATCGGGGTGCGCTACCAATCATGGGCTTATGAACCTATACCTTTACCCTGCAGTGAACACATACCTCTTTATGCCAGACTGACCTAATGAAAGGTAATGATTCTAGAAAAGCACGGTTCAACTAAAGCTACGTAAATATACAAAGAAAAACTAGTGAAAAATTTTCTTTAAAAAACATTTCTATACTAAGTAATGGTAAACACAGAAATATGATTTATAAATAATTTATTAGCTTAAATATTGTATTGATAGTTAATGAATTTGGAAACTTAAAAAGCCAAAATTTTCTCTCTCATCACCAATGATATTATTCAATGACATTCATCCCTGTCAATGTTGATCAATTGGTTGATTGTATGTTGCTAAAGTCACTCTCGAGAATTTTTCACTCGTATTGAAACGCCACCACTTGAAGATAGAGAGCTACAAATTTTTCCTATACTCAGCACTGAGAGCCATTGAGCAGTGAAGTTTTTTTTTGTATCAGCACCTACTGCGACACGGGACCTCGATTAATACGGTCTCATCTGAAGAGTTTGCAGTCACAGTGGTTTTTAAGGAAGAGCTATTTTGTTGGTGAATAATCACAAGATGTAAACATATATGAGTTCTGTTAATATTGAAAAAGCAGTTGTTTATGATACCAAAACGTCTAGATTTCAATTTGTCGTTAGGTATTTTTGTACGAAGTGTAAAAAAAGGTGTACGTAATTCGACTGAAGTTTCTCCTTAACAGCAATAATATTATTGTAAAGATAAAGATAAGGCGCAGTTGCTAGAACCAGCAATGTATCATTGTGTGTAAGGAGTATTATGAATCTTAGAAAAATAAAAAAAGAACGATGATATAACATTCAGCCCTCCTTCTTGTATGGGTTATTTCTAGCCGATTTAGGCACTTTCCTACATGTTTATCCGGTACAGAACGACAATGTTTAATATTAACCTTGTTATTTTTGAAAAATAATCAAACTTAAGAGAAAATGCATTACTTAGATTTTCTTATTTTTTTTTCTAAATGTAAATCTTATTCATTACATATCTTTTTGATTATAAATAAAGTTTTTCTTAAATTTATTAATTGATCTAGTATCAATACAGATACAACTACACCGCACACCACAAGCTCTTAGCGCAGAACAACTATAATGGTGCACACGACCTTCGTTCACCAAATAACAACTACTACCCCATTTAATCGCAAGAACGACCAGGACGGTTAAAAAACACTCTAACTACTTTTTTCAGAATTTTTTTTTTCACAATGTTTCATTGGGGATGTTTCTCTGTTGGTTGCTTTTGTTTATATCATCTTATAACTGATACGAGGGGCGTTCAATAAATAATGTCATTAGCTTGATGACATACAACATAGAAGTCATGTGACAATAACCTTGACTTCCTTTCATTCTTGAATCTTTAATGAATTGATAATAGTTTATGTGACCACTTTTATCGCATTTTTTCATTGTAGGAAGTTGGAAAACAAGGGCTATTTGAGACACTGCATTCAAAATGAATAGTCAAGAATCAGTAAACTAGAGTAAAATTAAACGCTTCATTAAAGCAGCTGTTAAACTTGTAAATATCTCAAAAATATATTAACTAAAATATGGGAATTTACAGCAACTAATGGCTGTTTTATAGAAACATGAACAAGTAAATTTTAATAAACACAAATTATATAATGGGCATCAGAAATGGATACCGTCCTTGGCAACAATGAATACAACAACCAATGTAGATTTGCGAAAATTCAACAAATTATTATTGATTATGTTTTATTGACTTTAAGACACATAGCAAAATTGATAAAAATCATTTTGGGGGTAGTTTACACTGTTTTAAAGAAACATTTGATAGTAAAGAAGTTTAATGCTCAAAAGTCACCCTATATTTTGAAACATGAGTGAAAACGACAGCGTGTAGGAATATCTAAACAATAATTTTTAAAAATCAAAAAATGTACTTATCCACGTTTGTCTGAAATTCAAACAGATAATGAAACTTGAATCCATTTTGCTTTAAACTCTAAAAACAAAGAACTTTATTCGGTAATAACCAATATTTGCCCCCTAAATCAAACTTTGATGGAGATATATTTTAAACAGGTGGCTCCCATCAGCCACGTACCTCCGATCACTTGACTCTACACTAATTTAGTGTTTCGGCGGTGTGAAACGAGGTATATTTTTATAAATTGATTTATGATGAAGAAATAATTTTCTTCATATTGCTGCAAATCCGCCTCATCAGGAGTTTATTTGCATTATGCATTTATGTATCTACACATAATATTAAATTAAATTATTTAATTGTTGAGGAGGTGAGAATATCACCTAAGTTTTTATTGCGTTTGTAGGACACAATAGGTAATTCTGAGAAGACTTTTTACAGTCTTCATCCTTTGTAAGGATATGCCAATATTTTATCAGTTTTCTTTTTAAATGTCGTATACAGGGGTTGTATTTTGTGACAAAAACAAGAGGAATTCCTTTTTTCTTGATGTCACTTTTACTTTTTAGGGTTTTCTCTCTGCTATAATTAGCGAGTACATTTTGCATGTTAGATTTGATTTCAATTTTATCATATCCTCTTTTTAAGAGATTAAACTCAAACTCACGCAGAATTTCAAGCAAAGTTATTTCATTGCTTGTATTTCTCATATGGCGTATTGTTTCACCTTTGATGAATCCTTAAAAAACAGAGGAGTTATGTGCACTATTCCCTTCCAAATATTGGAATGTGTTTGTTGGTTTAATGTAGGTTTTAACATGCATTCTCTGTAAGCACCAAAAAATTTACTATAGGGCTTGGAAACGACATATCTCCGATTTTGATGAAATTTGCACCACAGGTGCACCTTGGTACAAAACCAGCAAATATGGTGTTAGAAGTTTCCCACGTGCACCCTGTTGCCATGGAGACG